TACTGTGATTTTCTAGCCTCAAAGAATTCAGTCCCAAGTGGAAAAGGTTGACTCATAAAGGCTGAGTATAGATGGGAAAAACTACTTACTTGGTTTTCAGCAAATGTAAAGTTCAGCTTCCTTCTTGAAATTCTTCTTCCTTAGCTCTTTGGATACCATTTGTCTCTGATCCTTCTACAGTTTTGATGAACCCTCTTTTTCTGACTTTTCTCTATCCAACCTTAAAATGCTGATTCCTGATCACTTCTTCTTATGCAACATACTCCCTTGAGGATTTATCTTTTCCCATGTTATTACTATTACATACTTTACATACCAATATGAACCAACACCAACTTACGTATCCAGCTCCCATGTTTTTCCAATTCTAGTCCTATTCTCTAGCTGCAGTCAATGAAATGTTCTAATAACACTTTCAAGTTACAAAAATTGGAATCATTACCTTTTCCATTTCATTCCACTGGTTGCTTCTCCTAGTAACTACCCGTGATAACAGAACCAGACTCTTGTATTAAAAATCTTTCTGCAAAATCACCAAATCCTATCAATTTCCAGGGTTTTTAAAATGGCTTCCTCCTCTCTAAGCCCTCTGCCACTTCCCTAGTTCAGGTCTTACACAGAACATAACAGGCTGGAAGCATTAATCCTCGATGAAGGAGCCGGTCATGTAGAAAATTGCAGTATAATTATTAAAGCGAAGATCTGCACAAAGTGCTATGGTTAACAGAGGAAGAAGCAATTAACACCAGTGGTAAGTATGGTGGAGGTAGTTTTTGAGAGCTTTGATATAGAAATTACATTTGAGGTGGATCTTAGATGATTAGTAGGGGAAATTTGGATCCAGAGGGGAAAAAAGGGTATCAGAAGAAGCAAGCAAGCTTGTAAAAGGCAAAGAAAGACCAGACCACAGTTGAGGAATGTTGTAGGAGATGAAGCTTTAAAGATAAGGTGAGGCCATTTTGTGAAAGATCTTGTATATCATGCTAAAGAGGCTACACTTATTTTGTAGGACAAAGGGAAACACTGAAACACGTTAAATAGATAAGTGTCACCAGGAGATTTATGTTTTAGAAAGATAAAACTGTTCAATCTGAAAGAAGATGCAATAGTTCTCAACTTCAGGTGACTTGTCTCCCCAGCAGGCACTTGGAAATATGTGGGGACCATATTTTCATGTCATAATAACTGGAGGATGCTACTGGCATCTGGCAGGCAAAATCCAGGCTATACTTCATGGCGCAGTCTCCCATAGTGAATAGTATCCTTCCCCCGAGGGCAGTAGGACCCCCACTGAGAAACAGCGAATTGTTAATTTACTAAACATTTGGTAAATGTTTATTATTAAGTTTTTTCATAGATGGAACATGCTAAAAATTCCTACTCACCACCTAGTTTTAACATTAACCAGGAACAAACACCTACTCAGTAATCATAGGTGGTAGTATTAATACAATAAAAATGAATACTACCTTACTGGAGCGGGTTCCACTTCAAGTGTTGGCCAAGTACTTCTTTCAGACCAACCCTTGCCAACAGATAAAACTACAAACTCTGGACAAAATATAAAAATCAACCATTTGAAAATGATGGAAAGCAACCCAAAGCAGGCTGACCCGACAGAGGAGAGAACACTTGGAAGAACAGAGTATCACTGGGCGAGTTCCCTATTTTTATGGCTCTTAGTCTGAGGGTAGTCCCCACTCTGCATTCTGTGGAGCCTATAGTTTTTTAAAATTTAATTGTATTTTATTTTTTTATTTCAAAGTATTACAGGGGTGTAAATGTTTTTAGTTACATGGATCACTTTTGTAATGCTTGAGTCCAGGATTAAAGTGTATCCGTCACTCAGATAGTGTTCATTGTACCCATTAGGTAGGTTTTCACACATCCCCTCGTCCCTGCTTGATTTACATTGAGTTTTACGGGCTTGAAGAACCACAGGACAGAGTTTGGGGCAATGATGGAAAATTTAGAGGGAAATCCTGATAAGGAAAGAACCAGAGAGAGAGCCCCAAATACTTGTGACCAGTCTCTGAAGCTTGCATATACAGAAAAGATTTCAAGCACGGCAGGCAGGTTAAAGTACTGACCTGAAATCTGACCTGCCACCAACTGCAGGGTGAATCAAAGCTTGCAGTTAGGAGTTCAGCCAAGCTGCCTGCTTAAAAAAAAAAAAGTCTTTGTAGAAACATATCAGAACTCAGGGTTTCCACAACATTTTATTTACCATGTTGAGGACACAATCTTAATTACTTAACATATGAAGAAACAGGAAAACCCATTCTGAAAAGAAAAGACTGACACTGAGATGATCTAGAATATTGAATTGAGCAGACACGTATTTTAAAGCAGCTATTATAACTATGCTCAAGGACATAAGGAAAAATGTGCTTGTAATGGATGAGAAGATAGGAATTCTCAGCACAGGAATATAAATGATAAAAAGTAAATGGAATTTCTAGAATTAAAAAACACAGTAATTGAAAGGAAAAAAGTTCGCTGAATTGGCTTAAGAGAAGAATTATTACAGAAGAGTCAGTGAACTCGAATACAGATCAAGAGAAAAAATCCAACTGAAGAAAAAAGAGAGAAAAAGACTGAAAAATATCTACAGAGCCTCAAAAACCTGTGAGACAACATCAAAAGGTCCAGCATATGCATAAATGCAGTCCCAAAAGGAAAGAGAAAATAAAGCTGAAAAAAATATTTGATGGAAATAAAGCACTCAGAAGAAAATGACATCATACAAAGGAAAACAATATGAACGCTATTGGCTTCTCGGTGGAAACAATGGAGACAAGGAGACAGCGGACGGCATCTTTAAAATGCCTAAAGGGGGGAAAAATGTTAACACAGAAGTATATATTTAGCAAAAACATTTGTCCAAAAGGAAAACAAAACAAAAACATTTTCGGGTAAAAGAAAAGTACGATAATTTCCAGCAGACCTGACCTATAGATGTTAAACAAAAAGTCTTGCAGTTTGAAAGGAACAATACTATAAGAAAACTTGGATTTTCAGGAATATGAGCCTCAGAATGATAATCTGGGTAAATATAAAATAATATTTTTTCTTAATTTATTTAAAATTTATATTCCTGTTCAAAGAAAAATATTGTATTATGGAGTTTATAACTTATGTTATATGTAATACATATAACAGCTATGGTAAAGGGGCCTATACGGTTATAAGGTTTCTGTTTTATGTGAAGTGGTACAATATTAACTGTAAATAGGCCGTGTACGGTTGTATACCTTGATACGGGTTTGGTCTGCACAATATGAACTTGTGAAGACTCACTGATTAGTAGGCATAAGATTTGTGAATTTCACTGAATGTAAATTTTACCTCAAAAAAAAAAAAAAAACCTAAAAAAACCCCTGATCTCTAGTTAATCATATGTAAGTTTAAGTCTTTACAAAGGAAGCATACTGGCCGGGCGCGGTGGCTCACGCCTGTAATCCTAGCACTCTGGGAGGCTAGGAGGCGGGTGGAATTGTTTGAGCTCAGGAGTTCGAGACCAGTCTGAGCAAGGAGACCTCGTCTCTACTAAAAATAGAAAGAAATTAGCTGGACAACTAAAAATATATAGACAAAATTAGCTGGGCATGGTGGCGAATGCCTGTAGTCCCAGCTACTCGGGAGGCTGAAGCAGAAGGATCGCTTGAGCCCAGGAGTTGGAGGTTGCTGTGAGCTAGGCTGATGCCACGGCACTCACTCTAGCCAGGCGACAGAGTGAGACCCTGTCTCAAAAAAAATTTAAAAAAAGGAAGTATACTAATGTCTGGAACTTATTTTGATTTGTAGCGAAATAATAAGATAGGTTGACTGATAGATAAAGGGATGGATAAATATGTGATATTTAAAAATACAGTAAAATACAGTAAAAATTTTAATTGTAGAATCTAGGTAGTGAATATATAGGCATTCTCTATAAAATATTTCAGCTTTTCTATATGTTTGAAAATTTCCATAAGAAAATGTTGAAAAAAGAATATTGCCAATCTACAGTTATTATCAGGTCAAGGGGGAAAATAAAACAGGGAAAAGGAAAAGAATTTAGAAAATCAAGGATACAAAAAAAAAAAGGAAAAGAGATAGTCAAGCTAAAACAGAGAGGCAGAGAGAAGCAGACGGTAAGAGAGAGAAGTATGGAAAAAAACAAATAAGAAAAGACTGAAGGAGGTAGACAGAGAGGGCAAGGTGCCAATCACTGCAAAATAGTAACAACAGTAAATATGTTATCACCATCCTTTGTCTTTTAAAATTTAATAAATTAGTTTTAAAGCTAAAAATTAGAAAGAATTATTTTGTCATGGAATTCAAAATTACATGCATGTAAAAATTATTTAGATACTTGCTTCAGAATCTTAGAAGTTATTCAGTATCAGTCTAAAAGTCCCCTTGACATTCAAAAATTGTTTGGTTATCTTATATTTTGCCCTTGAAAAATCTGTAGTATATCATCCCGGTTGTAATATTAACAACCACTGTTGACTTAGGATCAGATCTGGAAGGAAGCCAGGATTCCACACCTCTAGTAAGGAGTTTCTACTCCCCCCAACGACCTCCCCTAAACTGTTAACAGCAGCTGCACCCATCACACACTGTCGCATTCCAAAGCTTATGCTTTTACTTACAGGTAAACTTTTAACTCATCATATAAATACATTGCTCTCTATCATTTCAATGCTGTATATTTTAATTAATAATTCTTAATTAAGATACACTTCATATATTTGCTTTCCATTAAGTAGTATTTTTCCTTTCATTACCCAAGCATGTATCTGTGAAGGCAGGAGCCCACATCCAGTACCTAACACAGGTACTGTGTTAGCTTAGCACATGGAAGGCCCTTGACAAATATTTATTATTTGAATGAATAAAGAGTGTTGCTATCATTCACAATATTCCCTTCTCAATGGATTATGAACAGAACTCATCGAGATTAGGAAAATGGTAAAGTTTGACTAATCACATCAGATATAAACAGGCAAAAATTTACCAGAGTGCCAATAATGTTTTATTTTGTTTTTATGAGTGTAAATCTTAAGTTTTGACCTTCTTTAAAAATCCTAAATGGCTTAATGGACTTGAGACTTAACTAACCCAGAAGTTTTAAAAATGAAAAATCAAGTGATATATTTATATTATAAAATGAGTGATGGTTTTGCATAGTAATATAACAAATCAACATTCTTTCCAAAATTCGAAGGAAAAAAAGCTGGTATTGGTTTCTATCTGAAGTCAGATCCAACTTTTATGATGACAGTAATCTCAGATCAGAATCAAATAAATTTCAGAACTCAGTTTGAGAGAAAAGGAAAAACTTTAGTTAAAACCATTACAAATAAAATAATTATGATTATAAATCTCTTTAGTTAAATATGTACACATTACATGGTATTTTTAAAAAGAATGAAAATGGATAAAGTTTTTCGGGCAAATCTAATGCACAAATACACCATCTTTTAGAGTATAATTCAGTTTAACATTCCTTAACAGCTGTGTCAGACAATGGCTCTGCTTTGTGCAAAACATGATAGGCAAAATAAGGAAAAATTCTGCAAAATTATTTAGTTCCCCAAGAAAATTACTAAAAAAGAAAACAGCAAAAGAAAAATATGTTGTACACTCAAGCTTGATTGTATACACAGGCTAGAATGACCAGCACTGATGTAACCTCCATATCTGATAAATAAGTCCTTGGGTAGCTTTAGTCTAAAGTCAAAAGGTGAAGTCCTAGCAATTGTGCTTTTATGCAGCCACATGGCCAATAAGGTAGATGTTGTCATAAAGGTGCCCTACAAAATCTTCACTAATGTTTTGAGCAGCGCGACGGGTATTTCGAATAAATTCTCTTTTTGACATTTTATTCTTCACATGAGGGCTACTGAGGTCAATGGAAAGTAGAATCAAAGAGTAGCACAGTACATAAACAGCATCTGGAAGGAAAAAAACACTTCAAATTATTAGCTGGTTTAAAAAATATGATTCCAAAGGCATTATATAAGGCAAAAATGTTTACGATTTCAAAAGATCAGGATTAGCTAATAACTAAACATAGGATGATCAACTCATCCCTCTTTGGCTTTTCCTAGCTTAGCATGGAAAGTCAACTATCCATAAAACACATTGGTATTGTCAGCATATTTATCTCTCCATTCTAAAAAAAAAGGCAACATATTTATTTACACAGAATGCTTTTACAAATATCTACCTAATATCATTTGTAAGCATCTTGAATGACAGGAAAACATATTAACTTGGTACTAGAAAATAAAATATAGGCTGGGCCACAGTAGCTTATGACTGTCATCCTAGCACTCTGGGAGGCCGAGACAGGAGGATCGCTTGAGGCCAGGAGTTTGAGACCAGCCTGAGCAAGAGTGAGACCCCATCTCTACAAAAACTAGAAATATTAGCCACTAGAAATAGCAACTAGAAATATTGGCACCTACAGTCCCAACTATTCGGGAGGCTGAGGCAGGAGGATCTCTTGAGCCTAGGAGTTTGAGGTTGCAGTAAGCTGTGATGACGCCACTACACTCTAGCCCAGGCAACAGAGCAAGACCCTTCTCAAGGAAAAAAAAAAAAAGAAAAAGAAAAAGATAAAAAAAAATAAACAACTCGAAAGATTATTAAATTAATATTCTCATTTTAGATATATATTTTAAAGGTCCATGGAATTTATATGTTAATTTGAAAAGTAAATTTTTAGGGAGAAAACTGTTATACCTCAGCACCATGTGACAAAATTTTATATATGCTCAGGATAATATTTCATGTTTAATATTAAAATAGTAACAAATGTCATGATACTTTACTACCATGGTGTTTATATTTCAGAATCTTGCAGTCTTCAGAAAGCTAAGTTGAACATTATGTCTTGTAAAGCATGTTCAACAAATTTCATATGATAGGCAAATGTTTTGTAATCTCTGCTTAGTAAGATAAGCACAATAAATTTCTGATATGAAGAGGTAAGTAAAGCTGTATCAAAAAAATACGAGACTCAGGCTATATCACACAAATAAATACATGTACACATATACATATGCACACAATGAAAATAAGTTGTATTAAAAACAAATTTTAGTAGAAAAATAGTGTTATCTATGTAACTCATGGATTATTAAAAGCCTTAAAAGTAATTTAAGTTTTCAATTAGACTAGTAAAAATACCCAATACTCAAACAAGCGTAATTTTAAGGAATTTATGTAGCTACGTCTAACTTTGTTCCTAAAACAGTACATTTATTATATATATAAAATGGCTATGACAAACTAAAGTATTACCTCTAATCTCACATAAATGATGTATTCCATAGAAGTAGTCCCTGCTACAAGCAGTAAAATTAGTGTTTGTAATTATCCTGGGAACATTTTTACCCACAGTCAGAAAGATGTGTCATATACTACTGTTTTTACCTGGAGGTGGGGCAGGGAGAGGAAATAATGTACTATATATATTCTTACCAGGACTAAGGCCAAGTTCTCGCATTAAATCAGGGTTACAAGCACAGAACCTATGTGAGAACTTCGTGATAAGAGTTTCAAGATACTCCCCACGCTCTTCAGGGGCATGGATATGACGAAAAAATTCTCTCAGTGCATTTGGCAAGAATTGATTTCTAAAATTATGCAGTGTTACAAGGTCATCCAAGACATCTCTCCTATAGGATGAAAAAAAGGCACAGCTTTAGTCAACTTTTCTCTATGAAAAAAAGCGATAAGAAAAATCATAAATTGTCATTTTTAGATAACAATATTTTATTACTGATTACCAGGTCAGTTAATCCTATTAAATTATATATAATTTTTAAAATTTAAAAAAATCTAAGTATGATTATTTAAGAAGTTAAACAATTTTGAAATCGTTCATGAATAGGTTACAACAATATAAAACAAGGTAAAACCTAGTAATTCTACTTATAAAATGAAAAAAAAATTTGTAGTATTAAAAAAGAGCAGCTAATCTTAGCTGAATCCAAATAGCAATGGATTTCTTTATTTTTTTAATTATGAAAGTAATGAAAGTCTTCACTTACCACACCAGTCTATATCTTTGGAGATAACAACTACTTATGCAGAATTTAAAAAATGCCTATATATATTATACAGTGTGTCCCAAAAGTTGCCATTGATTTTTTTGTATGACTATAAAATTTTTCCTTTGTATGACTATAAAAGTTTGTAATGAATATTTTGCAAATAAAGGTACATTTAGCCATAATTTCCCATTTTCCCTATGTATGGAGACTTTTGGGACACCCTGTGTATTGTTTTAGAATTTGCCTTTGCTTTTTGCACATAGTGTATTAAGGACCGCTTTCTACATCTTTACACCTAGATCCACAGTATCCTTCTTAATGGCTCCACAGCATCCTCCCTTATGGATGCAAAAATCCTATTGATACACATTTAGGTTATTTACTGTTGTATAAATATTTGCATATGTTTTATGTGTGTACATATAACTTCTAAAAAAATCAATAGTATTCTAAATATATAGTCACACTTGCTAGTGGGCCAATCTGGCCTGCTGTTTTTGCAAATAAAGTTTTATTAGAATACAACCACACTAATTTGTTTATGTATTATCTGTGTCTGTTTTCACAACACAATGGCAGAGTTATAAATAGCAGTGACAGAGATCATATGGCCTGCAAAATCTAAAATATTTACAAAAAGATCTGGTTCTTTAAAAAAAAAAAACTCTGCTGATCCCTGGGTATTTGGCACTTTAAGTTAACAAAAAGAGTTAATGACACATCGTAAGAGATCTCCTTCAATCACCAGTATGCTGGACCGTAAACTCCTCAAAGACAGGAATTATATCTTAATCATCTAGGTACACCTACTCTAGTAAAATTTGTGGAATATAATGAATGTTTGCAAATTATTGTTGAAAAATCCTGAGAAATAAAAAAGTTTGAGAATTACAATGAAAGGTAAACATATTTTTGAGCCATACAAGATCTGCAATTTCTAAAAAATTTTAAGTTGGTGATGTCACATCAAAATGTTGTCCCAATATTTTTATGTTCATTAATAACCAGAATTAAAAAGTACAAGTGAATGACTATCAAGTCAGAACAGCATACTGACCATAGTCTCTATTTGTGTAAAACACACTACTAAAAATCACATTTTCAAAATTTTCAAACTTGCACATGACACTTCTATGTAGTCTATATGCAAACATATATAGTATATCCCTAGGATTTGTGGGTTTATGACTATAGTTTGTCTTTGTATTAGGTTTGTATATGAATAATTTCAGGATTCAGAACTTTTAGTTACCTAAACACTTAAATTATGGCTAGTTATTCAGCAAAAGTCAGGGCTGCAGTTTCCTGAAAATATTTCATTTTGTTTTGCTATTACAAAGATGTTGGGCTTCCATTTTGTGTGTGTAGATGAACTTTTTTTTACTTTTACAATGGCAACTTCCTCATCGTTAAGTTTAAAGCTCACCAAAATACCACCACTACTACTACTAATAATAATGTATAAGGTACAGGACTCTTTTCCCTGTCTTTACTCAATTTTGCAACTAGATGATTACTATGTAGTATGAATTTTTAAAGTAACACTAAACTCATCAAAAGCATTACTTAATTCATTTCTGCTGAAAACCTAATCATTATTATTATTTATTTTTTTACCTTTCATCAAGATAGATTCTCAGTTTTTTCCAATTTAGTGTTCTCGTGCAGAAGATAAACTTTGCTATTTCCTTTGGCGAATCATCTAGGATACCCTTGGACATAAAGTAGTTCACTCCCTAAGGCAGAAAGACAAGCCTACATAAATAAAATCATTATTTATAAATTTTAACAATTAGGCAATAGCAGAACAATAGCTATAAATTCTTTCCAGCATTAATAGCCTTTTTGTAGCTTTATCATGCAAAATACAAGCTAGACTTGTACTAAAACTATTATTTGTGATTGATAGTTTACAGGCAATGAAAAGTAGGAAATTCAAAGTTAAGACTCCTAAAGAAATCTTAATTTAATTTTTTGGCTCATGTCAGATAAAACTAACTATACAGAAATGTGGCCTAATTTGGGGGAGGATAGCTGTGGAAGACATCAGAATACAGACTTCAAAATAAGCCTTTGTAGCAAACACTTCCCCTGTTAAATAGAAAACATGATTTCTTAAAGTTCAGATACATGTTGTAGTATAATTTTCCAGGAAATAACTGCTTAAGGGAAAAAAATTCTCCAAATAAAAGCCTAACAATTTTATTCTGGAAAGAAAAATAATTAAATTATTTAACTTAAAGTAAAGTAGGCCCAGCTCCAGGCCAGTTTATGGGTTGTACTACTCTGGCTGTAAGCATTGTTGCATTGTACAAGAACCTAGCTACAATACGCACTGAGGAAAACCTCAAAAGACAAAACAATTTCAACGTGTTTCACAGGATTTATCTTTGAATTTCCTTTTCTCTGCATGCAAAGTTTTCCAGAGAAGCATTATCCATAAGTTTGTACCTATTTTAGATTTAAACCACCAACAACAAAACATCAACAAAAAAACCAAATGCTGAGACCAGAGTTCTCTCACGTATATGAAGGTCACATTCGAACAAATGTCTTAGGTGGATTTGAATGTGCAGTTATTGAAATAAAAGGCAGGTGTGTTTATTTCAACTTGCAGTTATCCAGATACAAGCATTCCCATGAATGCTTATGTCTGGATACTAGCACATTGTGTGCAGCTAATTGGTAGAGAAAATGACGTATTATATACATGCAACATACTGCTTTCATACATAAATTCCTTTGGCATTTCTTCACTTTACAAACACATAGTACTCAGAAATATTGTACACATTAAGAATTTAAAAAGTTGAAAGAATTTCTATAAAAAACTCTTCAAGATAAAAACTTTTTCATAAAATTTCTATATTAAAAAAATTTAAAAGTAATTTGTACCATAAGGTAATGCTTTTGAAAGGTTATAAATATCTGTAAATTGTAATTCAAAAATAAGACTTTTTATATAAAACTAACTTTATGAGCCATCAGGATAATATCTCAACAGCAACATTATCAAATTTTCATGTGAATTTTAATAGAATAAAAGCAATGCTAATGCACTCATTTTAAAAATGAACATTAAGAAAAGCTGAGTGTAATAACATAAGCTTTCTTGTCAACTCAATTGTAAGGCATATTTCAGACTGACTCCTGTAGATAATAGCTAGAAAAGGTATGATCAAGAAGGAAAGCCAAAAAATTTGTTTGGAATGAGGCTCTCAGGAATTGTCTGAGGGGGCAGGAACTAGAGAAATTATTTATTAATGCTTGTTCTATCCTTTCCTCCATTAGTTTGAATAATCGAGAGTTGACTGTATATTTAATTGTATATTTAATTGCTTAGCAAAAGTTAAGTGACGCTTCATTGCTTCCAGGACTCTTCAGTTTAAAAGGATAACAATATTTCAGAATTATTTCCAGTGTTTAATTGTAAATGAAGTGATTTAAAGACAAAGGAATGTCAATTAAGCATGATTTAATAGATTCTTTATTCATGCCTAAATCAGTATTTAAGAAATATGAAACTAATTCTAATCTATTTTTTAAAAATTATGCAAAATAAACCCACTAATATGATTCATCAAATGAAGTATAATTCTCTATATGATTTATGCCATTTTAGTATCATTTGATGCTGCTTAGTTATAAATTAACATTAGTAACTGCCTCATGTAAGCATCATAAAAATACACTGTTGGACATTTTCTCCTTAATAAAGCACACATTTTGAGAATTTAATGTACAATCTGAGTTCTCCCAAATCAATTAACTATATAGGAGCTGGCACGTACACAAAGAGTTTTAAGTCCAATCCTGAAAACTGGTACCGCAGCTTGAAATGAGCCAACTCTGTTGGTTTTATGAGGAAAGGAGGCATCGATTTCAAGCCCGGGATTCCTCTGGAAAGGAAGATTACTTTAGAACGACTACCAGAGTGAATGGTAAAGGAATGACAGGTAGAAAAAGGTATGGGACCAGATTACAATTGTCTCTAATAAGCAAGCTGGCAATCATCTGGATTTCCATCTTTTTATGAAACAATGAAATAACAAAAATGTACCACAGCATGAGATCTGTTGAATAACTGTAAATTTGCTTAATAAGTGGTATAGGCATTTTTGTTTTTTAATTAAGTTTTAGGAGAATGGTACAGAGAGACCCCTAGACCACATGGCGTTTTAGTGATCAGTAAAGACTAGAATTGTCAACAGTGTGTACTTGCACACACGCGTCTGTGCGGTGTCTCACAGGCAATCATCAGTCTCCATCAACATAAATATAGGATCCTGAAAAAGAAAGTTTGCAGCTCAGTATAGTCTGCATGACTCACCATAAAAGGTTCCAATTTTGGATGTCACATCTTATGAGGCATAGTAGAATTCACATTATGTAAGAAAGAGTTGAAGGATATAGGGGTATTAGGCCAAAGAAGAAGATATTTAGGAAAGAAGAAAGGATTAAGACTTTAAGACATCTGAAAGGTTGTGTCACAAGAAAAAAGGAACAGACCCTGCGAGTAGCCCTAGTGAAGATGTTAAGCTCTTTTTTGGGTCACAGACCCCTTTGAGTATGAAGAAAGCTATAGAACTTCTTCCCAGAATAATGGGACATTAAAACATACACATTTAAAAAAATATTAATCAAGTG